TCATCATTTTATTGTATACTAACCAAAAGTACATCTTAGGTTCATTTCAGGGACATTGTTGTCGCTGATATAATTACCATAATACAATCAGTTAGAAACATGCCCTTTATACATGTTGGACACAAGGATAAATTGAAGCCAGATTACTAAATAACGGTGGGTACCTTTATGGGTGGGGTTTCTTACAAAGGTGATGCTGGAGGACCACCGCCACATGAAAGTCCACACTCAAATAAGGCCGATAAACAAACTCAAAAGGCGGTTAGAAAAAAAACTGGGCTGTCTGGATAACGCTGTTTTTGTAGTATGTGAAGACCCCTTACATGTGAAGTTTTAGATCATAACTCTAGCTATGATGTGGCTGCTTGCCTGGGATAGCAAAATGAAATAGTATTAGAAATTTGCTCGGCATGATCATACATGTGTTAAAGAATTGATGAGACAGAATGAGCGTGAATAAGTCAAGGCACTTTAACAACATCTTCGACTATAGCATCTCAGGCACAATAATATGGCTGATCAAACTGGGAAGCTGTTCAAAGTGATATCACTCACATGCTAGGGTTCAAGGCTACTAGGTCGCCTGGACGGAGACCCTAAGGCGCAAGCAAACGTTGAAGGACGCGTACGTCAAAACGGCCAGATCGCCGCTAACTCGAAATGGCGTTCTTTCACGACTCGCAAATCGGTCGCCCTCGGATCGCGTAAGGAAGAGAATACGGTTCTATCTTGGCTATGCTGGCGGGGCGGCGACAAATGAAGTTGCGGGTAGCCGACTACCGTGAAGTGGTCGTCGAAGTACCCTGATTTATAAAAGTCACGTGGATTAACAATCTCGGAGCACTACGCAGCACACAGACCCGTTTCGGCAGAACTAATATTTAGTTTTTGTATTACTCACAGGGCAATTTATTAATTCTTTTTTCTGCACATGAATTATAATCGCTTTTCAGAAATTGAGGATGATCTAACAAGTTACCTGATGTTTACTTGGTAATTAAGGCCGTTTGTTGGTCACTGTGACTCGTTTTATGTACGATATCAGCCCGGCGTCAAGCGTCTGCTCGGTTTGTGCTAAAGGAAATGCTGTGTGTAGTGACAATACTGGGGCCGGAAAAAGCCGTTCTACGTTGCCTGCCGAGACGCTGACGATTGATCGGCGAGTTGTTACAGCGTCTGAAGTCTTAGTCGACCTGTGAGTGTTGCTTCGCTGGATATATGCGGTGATAAGTAGTCGCCGGATAGTCAATCGTAGAGCGCACCTGAGAGGGCTATTAATCATGTGCACTATTGGTGTGCCCGAAATTGGAAGCCGTGCACACTCTGGAATTAGCGCGATCCGCGAGTTGCGGCAACGCAATCTGTGAGAGTTGGGCAAGAGAGGTGAAACAGAGCCTTTGCACAACACATATGATTATTAGGCATTTTCAATGTAATATCATGAACTAAAGTGGGCTGAGTATTACCTTCTCTTCATCAATGTTTTCTCATGTTTGAGACGGCATTTGTTAAAATATTAAATGACTTCTATAAATAAGTGGATAGATGTAATCTGAGCATAAATCTGCTTCGGTTGGCACGGACGATCAGCCACCGACGGCCTGGCGGCTATGAGGGGGTTTGTTGGATGCCCAGCTGGTTTTCAGTTTGCCAGATCGTTGGGAAGTCGTTGGTCCAGCGCAAAATAGTGAGCAATCCGCAGGTTGGGCGCACAAGTCGCTGCACAATCTCGAGATTGTGCAGATTCCAAGTTTGGGTACAACATACATACCGTCTGCACTGCCACAAATGATCGGGTGACTGTCATATCTTTACCAGCCATATCCTTCATTTGTAGTTTTACTTGTGCCTTAACTTCAGACTCCCTCGCCACCTACATGTAAATGACAAGCATAAATAACTCAATTTCCAAATAATGCGTAATATGATAATGTTCCAAACTTCCAGCAATAAGTTACATTGAATCACAAACATGAATGTGTTTTGTGTCTGGTCAGATAGCAATGAAGGTTATTTTCAAGCATGATTAACATTAGTTCACCATATTGCCGTGAAATCAGCAGTTATGGCAAGACTGGTAAAATAGATGTATGATTGAAAATTTAGTGGCAATATGAGAAAAATTGGCTGAGAAACACATCTACTCTTGTGATCCTGGCAGCTTCCTCTATACAATACATACAATTTCCCTATACCTTCCCATAACCTCTAACTTAACATAAGTCTAGATGTACCAATAAAGATTAATGCATGCAGAAACATTGACCAAAAACACCATGCCCAAGATGAGAGGCAACAGATGTACAAAAGACACGAACAGAACCTATAGCACAAACCTTTGGATCATGCACAAACATTGCTCCTTTTCCTGCACCTGGAGGCATTTCTCCTGTTGTAGCATATTTCAAGCACTCAATAATGGTCTGAAAACATTGCACATGAATATAGTTATTTCTTAGGTCGTGCAGGTATAAAAACTGATATAACAGCAACTTTGATTAATAGCAATAAACTGTAAAATAATAATTGCACTGTTGTTTGGCAGATAAAAATCACGTGACTCTATATAAATTGATGGTTTTAATCTAGCCATTGTCTGTGATTTGTCCCTGATCTTTAGAGCTACTGTACTTTACAAGGAAGAATAAAATAGAAAATTAACTGAATTGAACAGAGCACTTAATTGTATATTAGTATTACAGTAGTAACACTTACAGTCTTTCCTGATCCATTTGGCCCAAGGATGAGAGTTAACGGACAGAAAAATTCCATCATTTGCCGGTCATTAGCCTCTGCACCGAAACTTCGCACTCCCTGTATGCTCATCTTTGTGATGGCTGACATTGTGTCCGTTTATATAGCTGTGGTTAACAAAGATCATGTCAAAGTAGCATTCACATCAGATCAAGATTAACATGATACCACCATACGCACACCACTGTGCAGAAACTCGCACAATTTTTGTGTGGGTCACCGTGTGCGGTAGTCCGAGATTCCTCTGACCAATGACCACACCGACGATTTTGGTGGATTTGGTGTGGGTTAGTGTGGGCATTGGTCAGAAGAACCTCGGACTACGTGTGCGGTTGCAGGTTGGATTGACATTGTGTTGTGTTGCAGAGGAGCATTTGAATGGCATTTATGTGGAATTATTAGCCTAATTACTAAATTAGGCAATAGAGGGTCCATAAACACCTGATGACATTTTTTATTTTTTTATTTATTTAGGCAATTATCCATCATGATCATATACAATACATAGCATACTTTGACAATAAAATTCTGCATTCATAAAATTGGATAACTACCAAGGATATATACACAAAATTAAAGCATGACTAGCACATTTATTTACATTGTCACGTGACTGTGGTCCTTGTAAAATAATAATTCATTAATTTTCACTGGGCCTGGCACAGGCTGAACTAGCTCTAGTACTATAGCCCGCGTACATTGACTGCCGCAGGCCTATAGTATAGCATAGAGTACTAGAGCATAGAGGCTAGCTATAAGGCTGAGCATACTGTACATTCTAAATCATTAATTATGATTATGCATCAGTACATGCATGTGATGCGCCAGCAACTCCAGATCTACCGCGTGTTATGCCTTACCTATAGATATGTTAACAATTATGTAACGGCAATTTTTTCCAAGTCCGGATCGACGGTTTACATGCTCAGATGCTGTAATTCGGCACTTTAGGAAACATGCGATTATTTGGCGCCTTCGTCCATAACAAACAGTGGCTCCATCTAACGAGCGTACTGATAAATAGATTTTTTTATTTTTTTATTTTGGCAATTATCCATCATATACAATACATAGCATACTTTTACAATAAAATTCTGAATTCATAAAATTGGATAACTACAAAGAATATATACACAAAAAGCATGACTAGCACACTTATTTACAAATAACGAATCTGACGCACGTCTCCACTGCGGACAGCGCTTCATACTTAAACATCCCCGCTGTCGCGTGCGCATATCCCGCGGAACTGCGCGTCTCATCCGCGCGCAGCGCTTAGGATCAACAGCAAAGCTGTGCCACGCAATCTTTTATCATGTCTCTCTGGTTTTGCTATGCCTTGAATCTAACCATTACACTACTACTAATACTATCAGCACTAACTATGACGTTGACACACTAACTAGATACGCAGTGGATTTTTTCTATCGTATGTTTTGCTCATTAGAAATGCACAAAACCTATGTATGCAGTTCAATAAATCTGCTTTTCTATATCTAACACTATTATTCACAGCGTAAATTTTCAATTACATTTTCTATTCTCACTTTGTGATATAGACCATGGACACCATCATCAAGAGCCCGCAATTTTTTTTAACTAATTAATATGTTCTACTATTAGATGAAGAAAGAAACAATACCGGCGATGTGTCAAGAAACAGAAATGAAAGAAATTTCGATAAAACATCAACTTTATTGCAAGCTGCAAGAACTGTACAGAGCCAACACAAAAATGTTTGGCGATTTCGTATTGAGAAACACAGCAGCAGATATATCATTTACAAACAGCTATTCGCCAACTTCGGGCAACTTCGCAACTTCGGGCAACTTCGCAACTTCGGGCAACTTTCCACCGTTACCTCTCACTCTCGCCCCGTGTTGGTTACTCGCAAAGATATTAACCTATTATTGACCCCCCCAAGAACTACGATCTTTATAGCATATGGCTACGTTAAACGGAAGCAGCAAACACATTGCCTGTAATACGATGAGGTGGCAAACAAAACAAAACCAAGGCGTGCAATCACTTTCAATCAGTTTCAGAGAATATTACAGGACAATAAGTCAATAACCATTATGTACAGGATGTGTGTGCGTATATATATATATATATATATACATATATATCGGCACAATAGCTTGTTCGTCTGCAATGAAACTATCAAGTCTACACAAGGAGGCGGCAAGACTTCACCTGACACAGTAACATCTGGTAATGAGTGATCTCATTTAAAGACACTGAAGCACTTCTACATATGCATCGGTGAGGCCACATTGGCTACTCAGTTAGTTGTGGAAACTTTTGTTCAGTACGATTACTAAATATTTCTGCGAACAGTTCAATAAGGCAATCACGTTCATTCAAAAGCGTAGAGATATGCAATATCGAGGAGAACTTTACGCATAGGAGCTACATCGCCCAACCCCTTTGTAGTTCTGACAAAATAGTAATCTTCCACGTCAATCACCGTATTTACACACGTAAATCATATACACTGCGACTGAGCACTCACTCTCTGTGCCACGTAGTGGCCAAAAATCACCTACTATACAAAGGTAGAAAGCAGATTTCGTATAGGCGCAAGCGGTACAATTCGACACGGCAAATAAATCTTCCTAGTAATTCGCAGTCTCTCTCTCTGCCGCCGGATCCGTAACCGCACCAGTGCAGGCTACCGCACACAGCATCCCCCTATCTCATTGAGCAGAAGGGACGTGAAACTTAAGGACTCGTCGTTTGTCACCGCGCGAGAGCACACCATGTGTCAACTGGGACGACGTACGGGGGTCCGGCGCGACATTCAGGAAACACATGTGCGAACGGTAATCAGCGAATGACACACAGATCTCACCGACAGCGTTGACATATAACGTCACCGAGAGCGTTGACATATGACGTCACCGAGAGCGTTGACAATTGACGTCACCGAGAGCGTTGACATATGACGTCACCTTGGTTTCTAGCACTGGCGACTAAGTGGCGCCTTTTCTCGCATAACATGGAGAGTCAAGGTTAGAAATATTCAGTCAGAGAGATAGAGAGAGAGCGAGAGAAGGAGAAATAGAGAGAGAGGAAAAGGGAGAGAGGGGGAGGAAGAGGGAAAGGGAGAGAGGGAGGGAGAGAGAAACAGATTCTCTCGAATATAACCAGTAATAATCAGCCGACAGCCTTGCCGCGCACGCGATCCAATGCCCGTACAGTGTGCAGGCGCACTATCCCCCCCCCCCGCTTACGCTCCTCCACGCACGCACGCACGCTCCTCCACGCACGCACGCACGCACGCACGCACGCACACATACACATGAAGACATACACATAGCCCTCATGTATATGAGCGCGCACTATACCCCGTTGTGTTCGCTCAGCGGCATGAGCCATTAGTGTGGCATTACACGCCAGGATGCGGAAGAGCTCCTCACTTATTAACATTCCCGCAGTTGCATACATCGCCAAGTTTGATATCTCTCTCTCTGTCTCTCTCCCTCCCTCCCGCTCTCTCTGTCTCTCTCTCTCCCTCCCGCTCTCTCTCCCTCCCTCCCGCTCTCTCCCGGGATATCCGCCCAGCGGCTCAGCGATTCCCTAGCTGTGATAGACGTCGACAGACAGTATGTGGCAAGAGTAGGTATACGTCATGTACACAGACGTGCGTGAACAATTGGCACTAAGTTTGCTTCTAAGCAGTACGGAGACCTGTCTAGCGAATGACTACATAACGTCGCAACATTTTTATATTGCTTTCCTAAAGATCAGGACTGCACATACCGCGTGCAGGGAAGAAAGTAATACTTTTGTTTGGTGTGTTATCTGAACTATATATAGATTAGTAAATGAGGGTGGAGTGAAGGGGGGGGGGATGCCTGTATACAGCAGGCAATCCGCTGTAAGTCCCTCCAGAAAACACAAACTATATGACCATCCATCGTCCTTGAAAGATTTTGGTACACTTCATATCTCATATAGTAACACTGTGAACATATCTATACAATATGGTTCATACATACATACCTATACATATTGTGTATAGATATGATCACGGTGATGCCAATACAACCAACAACTGGTAGAATGATTATACTCGTAATACGTTTACAACTCTGGTGCTTGGTAAACTTCACAAAACGGACCAACATGTCATCAGGAGTGAATAATAATAGATCATTAATTAATAATTAATAAATAATTAATAATATCAAATGTAAAAGTTTGAATTTGGTGTGCGCGCTGAGATGGATATGGTGTTCGTGGTTGTCTGCATTGTAGCGTTTTCACACTGATCATCATGGTGTATCTGGCAGTTATTTGTACATGGAATACTCAGCACAGTATTTTTTTCATGTAACTGGAAGTCTTGGATAGAGGATCTATGTAATACACGATGTTCGACAATAATTTTAATAGATCACTTTGTTTAGCTTTACCAGCCCAATCCAAATAATTTTAATTAGTATTTTTCTGTGGGGTGCTGCTATTGTAGTAACCACGCTGTGCAACTTTCACTCCATAACACACATAGCTGTGAGCATGATCATGACTCAGACGTCGGACGTCGGACGGCACCGATGGCAATCCTCGCTGATCATTGCCCTCTGAGCTACGATGCTGGGCCGTAATCTCGCGACTCTACCAGTTTTCCAGAGCACTTGAAGCTGTCGGAGGCCGAGGAGGAGGCGGTGATGGCCGGCGCGATTCTCTGCGGTCTCCGACACTCTGTGACGGCGGTGACGAACGCGACGAGTCACGCTGCCGTGAGACAGGCCGTCGGCCGCATGTGCACTTACTTGCTGTTGCGCAGCGCCCACGCTGATGACGCGGTGTATGTGCTGGAGCAAGCCAGCTGGATGGAGGCATTTAGCAGGTTTATTCATCATAATTATTATCATGATTATTATCATGATTATTACTATTATTATTG